GGGAAAGAAATAAAACAAAAGCCTTATAGAAACAAAAGCCTTATAGAAACGATCAAAGGGCTTCTTGTATGATTAGTGGTAGTTGGAATGCATCAACAAACATTTGCGTCGGGAAGGAACCAACGGTTGTAGGACCAGGCAGAGGAGGCCGGCGGCTTGGTGGCGGTTGCTGGAGCCGGCAAAGGAGGTCGACTGCTGCTGGATCTAAGTTTAGTCTCTGATACCATGTAGAGATTTGGAATAGAACAACTTGATTCTCATTAATAAAAAGAGGGGTATTCAAACCAAATTACATTGGACTCAAATAGGGAAGGAAATAAAAACATAATCAAAGAAATAAAATCAACATAAAGATAAAAATGAAACTACATAATAGAAAATAAGGGTAATTAATAAATAATAACGGCTGTGGAAACCAAAAATCTAATATATGTTATAAAGTTTTTGTTGTTAAATCTTATAGATTTATTATTAATTCACATGGTATTGACTTTTTCTGTTTATTTTATGAACCATTCAAGGTTAACAAGTAATTGTTTATGCATTTCTTTTGCTTCCTCAGAAATCTTTCGGTACTAGATGATGCATTTGTTTTCGTTAATCTTGATTTTATATTCATTGTAGGGCGCATTGCATATTTGTTTAAATTTTGCATTTTATCTGATTTGACAGAATTCATTTTGTTGGAAAACCAAAATCTAAACTATCTTGAATGAGATTGCCTTACATGGGGAATTTCTTTTGTTTACAACCCTCCTGTATCTTGACCCAGTGTATAATCTTACTTCTCTATCACTTGAATAAAAATAGCCTGGATGTATAATGAATTTAGAATTTCCTTTTTCATTACCCAAGTGAGTTTTTTTTTTCTTTTTTTTTTGGGGGCATTTGCATGCATAGCACACAATTCTAATGTATTTACATATGTCACATCTATGCTTTCATATTTACACACATTGCACTTACATCTTTAATATCACATCATAAATAAAACTATTATTACATCATACTACACATTTTCATGCATAGGAAAGCACCAGTGATACGTGTGTAAACATATAAGTTTAGGTGTGAGATATGTAAATACATAAGAATCTTGTGTTAGCTATGCAAATTTTCCTTTTTTTTTAATTTTGGGAAGCTTTTTGGGGTTGTTTTTTCTTTTGTTGTCAGCACTAAAACACAAACTTTTGATCATTTAAACATGTGAAAAGAGAAATAATTACGGCCATAGATCTGTTTCTAATATTAGGACCGAAAAGGTTACAAATGATTTGAAATTCACATAGTGAAGGCCTTTCTCCCCTCTTTGTTTCAGGCTGGTGAGTTTTTTCATTCGGCTCATAGTGATGCTGCAGCACAACATAGAGAGATGGAAGCACGGCAAGGTGGTAATGGTTCTCTTGATAGTCCTTTATTGTTGGAACAGGTACTTCTTACTAGATTTTCTTTTTCATTTTCGTTATTTTTATATTTGACTACCTTAAATGGTTAAAAAATAATTTACAAAAACGTCTGTCCAGGAGATGCAGACAGACCCATCAAAGCAGATAACTCTTGGGTTTATTAGTGGTTTGGTAGCAAAGGAAAAGGCAATGGCTTTTGAAAGAATCTTATTTCGAGCTACCAGGGGCAACTTATTTCTTAGACAAGTTCCTATTGATGTTCCTGTTGACGACCCTGTTTCAGGAGAGAAGGTTGTTCTCTTGAAATGTTGATATAATATGCTTATTGTTTAGGTTCTCATAACTACTCGTGATTATCCTCGTCTTGTTATATTTGAATGAATTTTATACTAGAATTTTGGCATCCATGCATCAAGCTTTTATGTTTGAGAAATTGTTACTTTTTGCTGTCATATTTTGTTGAAGAAATTGACAAATGATAACTTATATTTGTTGCGGTTTGCTATTGAGTTTCATATTTCAACAATTGTGATCCCAAAAGGAAATATATAAAGGTTCTTATGTTCAACGTGCTTTGCACTTTGTGATTGTTGTATCTTTACGTTTTTGCATACTAGCTTTGTCAACTAGGAGGCATCTGGTTCTTGTGTCAAGTTTAGGTATGGATATAACATTATGGTTATTGCTATGCCAACTAGTTAGGGATAGCTTTATGAATTCATTCTCTCTCTCTTTCTCTTTCTTTTATTTATTTATTTTATTGAAATGTTTCTAAAGGTGTTAATTTTTTTCAATGCAAAATCTTTTGGACAACTTCTACCAATGCATCCTTGTTATACTTTTCCTTTCTAATCCTTTAACATTCATTTTATTGACCAATATTATCAGTGATTCCTTTACTCATCAGCATACCTAAATCATTTAAATCTATTTACCATTATTCTTAATGGCGTCTATTCCTCAATTTCCCCTCTTATAGTCATTTGTCACTTAAGCTTTTATAGTTGTGATATGAACATCACCACTTCTTTTTTTTTGGTACATTCAACGCGACTATCAATTAATTCTTTATGACTTGAGATTTGAATCTGCATATTTTTCTTAATAGGAAGATTACTTCTAAGACAGAAAATGTTCATGAATGAATCCTAGTATCTATAATCTCTTGATCAATTTACTTTTTGACACAGCTACATCATTAATAGATTGAGGTTCCCCCTTGTTGAGATTCGGTTGTCCATGAAAGATATTGAAAAAAGTTTCTTAACCTCTAATCATACTTTAATATTGTTGAGAAGTCATTCTATTTTAACTTCCTAATATTAGTTCTAGAAGCTATATCCTCTTGTTTGTCTACCAATTCTTGTAAGATAAAATTTTGATACTTGATTCTATCACACTTACATGTCACTTCACCATTTAGCAATATAATAATTCTCTTATTTTAATAAATGTTTCATTGACTAGAACTACGCCATTTGTTAGTAGCATGCACCATGATACTTCATTTTGAGTTTCCGTCTTAATATCTCCATAACCAATAGAAAAAGATACAATCTTAATGATGATCTTTGATGCAATTCTACTATGAGCGTAAACTCCCTTGCTAATTACTATTTCTAATGCTAGTCATTACTTTATCATACATAATTGTTAATATCTTTAACATGCCTTTGTTAAAAAAAAACCTTTTTTTAAACTACAAACATAATTAGCTTTTATGGTATACGATCATACACTTTATGAGATCAATACAAAAATTATTCTTCCTTTTTTTCTCTTTAATTTTTCATTAATTTTCTTAGCACAAAGCTGTCTCTATTTTACATCTTCCATGCATTAAGTTGATTGATTTTCTATGACTGTTCGATCATCTTCTTTCATATTATTATCACAATTCAGGACACATCTTTTATTCTTAAATATTATTACCAAAACCCTTCTTCTCTGATAATTTGGTATCCTTTTTGTCTTGTTAGTTTGTTCTTATAATTGTCATATTTCTCCAAATCTCATGTGTCACCTCATCTAGTTCTAAAGGTTTATTTTATAGATCTTCTATATGGCTAACTTAATTTTGCTTGTTTGAATAAATCTGTATTATACTTTATTTCTATACCTTAGTTCATGTTTCTAATCATTATACATTTTTAGACAGATTTTTTTTTCCTTGAAACTCTTATGTAATAATTTTACAAAATGGCATTTTAATATACTTTCAGCAAGTGAAACTGGGCAAAAGTTACATCCAAACATATTTTTTGTTTGAATATTATAATTGATTTAAAAATAGCAACGAAAAAGAAAAACAAAGATTAAAAAGTTACTAATAATACCCTTATATTGTACGTTCTCTTTAATGCAAAGTTAAAGTGGCACTTGTTTTGAACTGCTTCTTTGGCGATGCCAGAAGTTAAATGTGTTGTCTTTATCTTTGTTACAAATGTTACGTTTTGGTTAAACTTCCCAGACTGCAAGAGGTCACTGTGTTGAAGTAGAAATGTTCAGACTCACTCCAAGTGGTTACTGTGTTGCTTCTTTTTGTCAAATTTTTGAGTTTCCATTATTGATTTTGTTGAACTATATCATATAGATTGGATTATGAAAAGCTGTTGCTTCACTTAACAAATGCAATCATTACGATTAAATTCATCATTAAAAGACTTAAATGGTTTGGGGTCAAGGGATTGGAGCCTAGACTTGAACACTTTTGTTTTGGAGTCATGAAATTATGTTTCTTCACCCTTTGTAATGGTTAAGTTTATGCAATTTTTTTTTAGCGACAGGATTAGAATTGGAACAGGTTATAGTAAAGTTTCGTTGAGTATCAAGTGTATTTGCTAGCTCTATGAAAGAACCAATCTTATTATATTTCTCAGTCAAAGTTTTGATAATATTCCTATTTTTTCTTCAGTTTTGATGTTCAGAATTTGCTAAAATAAATGTAAAAATGCCTTTGCGATGGAGGAGCTCCTGCATCCCACGATCCTGATCACGGGATAAAAGCAGGGCAGGTTCCGCATCCCTGCTATAGTTCCTAGTGGGGATTTTTTCGACCTCTTGGTAGGCTTATTTCTACAAGGGAATATTTGTTTTTTTCTGGTTTAGCAGATTTTTGTTTTGTTTAAGTACTATGGAGATTATAATCTTTGATTTTCTCCTTTAGGAGAGCTGTATCTTCTTTTTTTTTTTTGTAAGTGGTGTGTATGAATCTTGCTCAGGATCAGGTGGTGAACCTTCTCATTGCCTGTACCTTGTCATTTCATGGTTTTTCTCGCTATTTTCAGTAGGGACAGCCACCGAACGAATGCCTATCCCCATAAAAATGTTGTTGACCTCGCATATTTTCGTTCCTTCGTTCTTCCACAACTATCTCCCCTCTAAATCCACTCCCAAAAAATCTTTTAGGAGCCCTAAAATAATATCATCTACTTTAGAGCCGATAAATCATAAAATTTTTTATATTTGTTTTTCTTGCCCTAAATCCAAAATTAAAAAAAAAAAACCGCATTACCCAAATCATTGCTACCGCAGTTCCCACATCCATCCCAACCAGAAAATATTTCAAGTGCCACAATTTTGGGCAAGTTATATCAAATTGCCTAAATGGGAGAATAATCTTTTGCACTAAGCAGTAGTTGAAAAGATGGATAGTGACACAACAGAGAAGGAAGACACCAGAAAGATATATCAGCTTCTAGTTGACGAGGGAGAGAGATGTTAGTGATTCAAGTTGAGCTAATGAGAGAGATTCCGATAGGATTAATAATGGGTGTCTTAGAAGGTAATGAGTTTGAGGGGTGTTGACCTCGTAATGGGTGTCTTAGAAGGTAATGAGTTTGAGGGGTCGATTGTGAGGTCTTCTCTTCTCCTCCTTAGGAGCCTAGGATCTAGCTCTAGGAGTTCCTATTGACCGTCTTAAAAAACTAGAGTTGAGACTCACCCTTCTAGAAGCTCCAGCCGATTCCTATTTTCCTTTGATGTCTAGCATCTTTGGCACAAGACCATCGTTTTATGAACGAGCGGTTATGGGCTATTTTGCAAAGATTCAAGGAAGATGATCCAAATAGGACTTCAAGCCTCAGGAAAAACATCGTCACGACCACTTTCGTCACATACACACATCAAATACACGAAATTCACAAATTTGCACGAAATCGGTTTTTCAAAATCACAAAATCATCATCTTTTCAAACTATGAAAATTAAGCTGAACGATAAAACTTACCTCATCAGAAAAGGGACAACTCATGTTGCTAGATATTTTGATCGACAACTTACCTCTTGAATGACTACCACTGAGGAAGATTCAGTATACCGTAAGCCTCATTACAAGATTTTTTTTTTGCCAATTGACTGGCTTATGGGATGCAACCAATCGAGTATGAGAAATTACAAAAATATGCTACGCACTTTAGGGTTACGGACTTCGTTCGGGAAAATACTAGCACAATCTCCAACTCTAATTGTGGCAAAGATGGATGATTTTTTTTTCTATCAAGATAATTGTAATGATGAATGTGTTTTAGAGTTGCCTGGAATGAGCGCGTGCATAGATTTTATAGTAGAGTTGCCTCATACACAACAAGACTATGACTTAATCATGGTTGTGATAGATCGATTCCATAAGTTTTCTAGTAAGAAGACGAAGCTTCTCCTACCTGGAAAGAATGACGCGGGAGCTCCCGCATCTCGCAATCCCAATCGCGGGATCAAAGTAAGACAGGTCTTGCGTCCCTGCTGCAGTCCCGAATGGGATCTTTTTCACCCTCTTGGCTATTTTAGACTTGTGGGACCCTTCTTATTAGTATTTTAACATTACTTTAAAATTTGGTTTTTTTTTATGCAGGGGAAATATTTTTAAGTTCTTTTCTTGTTTAGCTAGCTTTTGCTTTGAGTACAATGGAGATTTTAATCTTTGATTTTCTCTTTTAGGAGTATTGTATCCTCTTCTTTTTTTTTTTGCAACTTGTGTGTCTGTATCCTGCTCAAGAACAAGTGTGAACCTTTTCGCTGCCCGTATCCCGTCGTTTCGCGGTTCTCTTTGTTTTCAGCAGGGACAGCCGATGAACAACACATTTCCCCATTCAAATGCTGTTTTTCCCTCACATATTTTCGTTCCCTCATTATTCCCCAACTACCTCCCCTCTAAATCAACTCCCAAAATAACTTCTCGGAGCTCTAGAATAGTATCACTTTGGTTTGTGATAAAAATGGATGCTTGAATGCATACTTTGCTGTTTGCCTAAAGCTTAGTGTTTTAAGAAGTATTTTGGTAGTAAGTATTTGATACAGAAAAATATTACATTTGATTTTATGCCACGTCTGAAGCTCCTTAGTTGACCATATTTCTGTCCACATTGTGAGGGAGTTTTCTTGAACTGGATTTCAATAGGGTATGCTTTCAGCTGAAAATTTAATTTAAATTTTTATTTGTTGAGGAATTAAATTAAATGATTGACCATTTTGAATCGACCTAAGCTCTCTTCTTGTGGCTTTATGATGATGAGTCTGTCTACCCAATTTATGAGTTCCAGGAGAACTTGTTACTTTTCTCTTGCCGTCTTTTTTTTAATTATTTTTTTAGTTCTTCGTTTGAAACCAGAACGCTGTTGACCTACTAATTTCTTGTTTAATAACATGATAATTTTTTCCATCTACTCATGCTGCGTTGTTGTTAGGCCCATTTATGCAACCTCTTGAATTTCACTTTCTTATATTTCTTTGCAGATCGTCAAAAATGTGTTTGTAATATTCTATTCTGGAGAAAGAGCTAAGACAAAAATCTTAAAGATCTGTGAAGCCTTTGGTGCCAACCGGTATCCATTCATGGATGATGTTGGCAAACAACTGCAGATGATAGATGAGGTTTGTTTCCATTTTTTGCTACACGTATAATTATTTTCTCTGCTGTGGCACTGACAAGATATTATTGCTAAAAAAAGTGTGCAGAGTATTTTTTTTTTCAATATCATTTATTTAGCAAATGTTATTGAATAACCAGTGACTATAATTTCTTCTGACTGTGTTTTGAAATTTAGAAATTTTAACACATTTATATTACGAATTTTGAAAAAAATTATTCATTTTATTTTATGGATTTTGGCGGTCCCCTACAATTAAACTCAAAAAAGATTTGTTTTGTGGTTGCCCTAAAGTTTGATGGTTGTGCTATTGAGTGAATGGAAAGATAAATTAGGTCATTATAACTCAAGATCAATTTTATTACAAATTTTGACTGAATTAAGCAAATATAATCAACTTATGAACCAATAGAGAGTTTTTGGATTACAATAATTTGTTGTTGAAAGATTAGGAACTAGTGGATTGAAATGACCGAAGGATTAGAAACCATGGATGGCAATAATCAAGCCCTAGTGTAACATTTACACAATTAGGGAAAAGGAAAGCCGCCATATCCCATAGGCTATTTTGGAATTGGATTAAGTGATCTCTCAGGCACAAGGTCATGGATTAGAATCAATGATATGCTAACTATGATCAAGTTATGACTTTATGAGCTTTGGTTTGTGTATGTTAAGAATGTTTGGGTTACTTCTTGAACTCGAATTTTGAAGCTTATTTAATTCACTATTTGAATGCCAATCGTATTAGTTGTATTTGTGAGTTGCAACCAAGATTTTAGAGGTTTTAGAAGCTGTTACGTGTAGTTTTTGTAATATATTTTATGATATCTTCATCATTTAGGATTTGATATTATGATTCCTTTCATTTAGTTCTGCTAAGTGCTGCCTAATTGGTCATGGAAAAAGTTCTTTTGAGCCTTCTAGATGTGTAAGAACTAGAGCTTTTCTTGAGTTAGATTTGAGTTTAGTTTAACTATATTTTTTCTTAATGTTAGATCAAGATTTATTTTGATCTATGTCTGAGATTTCTTATAGACGCAAACCTCCAATTTAATTATCCTTTTCCAATTATTTAAGAAAAATTTTTAATTGAAGAGGTTGCTAAGCTCAAGCATTTTGACTTGACTTTGTTTGAGTCTAGAATGATTGTGGATGGGGATATAAATTTAATTGAGTTCATATGATATGTGTTATGTGGAGCCTGATTATGGAAAGTTGCGGCTTCCCATTACCTGATTATGGAAAGAGAAAATAAATTCCAACACACAAACAAATAGCATAAGTGTTGAAAGGGAAGACATGATATATTTTATGCAGAAAACTCGAAAAATGGCAAAAATCACGGGGGCATGACATAGTCAAGTAATCCATTATATATTTAAATTCTTATAGCTTTTCTTCTTTCTAAGTAGAGAATATTGTTATAAGGATCAAACAATTACCGTCCGAGAATTATAGCTAGAACTAATGGCAGTCGATGACAATTTCTAATGGTTGTCGGCTTTTTCTTTTCAGAAGTGTGGACTTTGTGTTTAGCTTCTTTTTTTCTCTTCATGTTGAAAATGAGGTTCTATTTATAAAATTTTGGGAGTGAACTTTTGGTAAATTTAGCCAAAATTTCATAAAACTTCATTGGACAGTTCGTGTTGATGCATTTGATGATAGATCCGTTTTTTAGCATTTAAGTGTCTTAATAATTTTATAATTGAGTAATCTTGTGCTCGTTGGATTTTATTCATTGAGATGTTCGATTTAATTGTAAGCATGTCAAATTTGAAGATCATTTGATATTTAAATTAATGTTTCCAAGCTTTCAATCATAGTTCAAGTGCTTGATTCTAGCTCATTTGGGCTCCGATAAAATCAGTTTTAGAGTTGTTGGATTTATATTGTCAAGATATTCAACTTTAGCTATAAAGTTGTTAAAATCAATTCATGATCATGAATTTGAATTTTAAAGTTATCTCGTCTAATATATATCGAGATTTATGCATGATAATGTAAATATTTTGGTGACATATCATTGTTTCATTTTAATGAATATTAAATTATAATAGATTAATTGTTATGCACATACTTATTTACATTTATAAAATTATATGTTGTAAGAATAAAATGCACATTTATTTAGTTAATCGGATCGGATATTAAAAGTAAAAATTTAATTCGTCTGACCAGTTTCAAATAGGTTCTATGCCGGATTGGTGTCTTCTTGAAATTTAAACTATGGTTTTGTCCTCAACACTTGAAACCAGAGAACATAAAACGTAATTTCATTGTTTTTTTCTATTACACCTATTAAAGCAGCTGCTAATAAGTAGTAACCGACTTATGCTTGTTAGCCTTTAATATTATTGTTGCTGCTAATCCCTCATCATTACCCTTAGAATTAAATATTTAGAAGTTTGAGATTAATGAGAGTAAAATTTTGGTTGCATATAAAAGAATAACTATGCTATTTGGACATGCTTTTGGGCTATAAGCATTATGTGATCAGGATTAGCATCTCAAATTTACTTGGCTTGTTGTCAAATTATTTGAGCATGAGATTCTTACAACTCCTTTAAGACAACTTATTTGGCGCGGTGCGTTCTAAAAATGCTGGATGAGGCGTTTGAAAACCGCGGTGTGACCCTCCGCTCTTGTTTCTTCACGAATCTATTACTCGTATGTCTCTCTCACTGCTCCCCTCTCTCTCGCGTTTCTTCTGCTCCAGGTTACCTCTCTCCATAACTCTCTCGTGCCTTTGATCTATGGTTGTAACAGGTTGCCTCTCTCCTCTCCTTCTTCCCTCCGATTTCTGATGGCAACGAGTTGCCTCTCTCCTCTCCCTCTTCTCTTCAATCTCCAACTCTCAGTCTGTTTACTGTGCTTTTCGTCCTCTCACGGTACCACCCATTTTTTGTTTGATGGAATGGCTTTTCCTTTGTGGTTTGTGGCTCTCATTTGCGGTTTGAAGTTAAAAATTTGGATTTTGCTATTTCTGGCTTTCTTATTTGTTGTTTGAAGTGAGAATTTGGATGTTACAATTTGTGGCTTTCTCTTTGTGATTTGGAATTTGAATTTTGCGATTTTGTGACTGGATGTGATATGAAATGGGGTTTTATCTTTACTTTGATGTTTGATTGTGAATTTGCAAAATGGCTGAAAGGGGGTGCTTAATTTGTTGATAAAAATGTTTTGGGTGTTCTGTATGTAGTAGCCTCAAATGAAAATATGACATGAGGTTTTATCTACACTTTGATGTTTGAGTGAGAATTTGAGAAATAGATGAAAGAGGGTGTTTTTGATTTGTTGATTGCAATGTTTCGAATGCCTCGTATGATGATAAAATTGGGATGATGTTTTATCTTTATCTTTGATGTTTGAAAGAGAACTTAAAAAATGGCTGAAAGCGGGGGCTTGATTTGTTGATAGTAATGTTTTGTGCTCCCTGATGGAATTGCATCTGAAAGCGGGGGCTTGATTTGTTGATAGTAATGTTTTGTGCTCCTTGATGGAATTGCATAAAATGAAAAATATGGGGTGAGATTTTATCTTTACCTTTGATGTTTGGCATAGAATTTGAAAAAAATGTTGAAAGAGGGTGCCTGATTTGTTATAGCAATGTTTCGGGTGCCCTGTATGGAATTGCATCAAATGAAAAATATGGGGTGGGTTTTATTTTTATCTTTGATGTTTGTTATTGAATTTAAAAAAATTGCTGAATATAAGTGATTGATTTGTTGATAGCAATGTTGTGGATGTAGATGTGGAGGTGGTCGTGTACGTTGTTTTGTGTGTGGAGCTACTGGTGTACGTTGGTTTGTGTGTGGAGATGTGTGGTTGTGTTTGTACTAGTGGGCGTGTTGGTGGATGTGCGGAGGTGGTGGTTGGTGTGTCGTTGTGTTTTTGTTAGAAGATGAGTTGATGGATGTGTGGAGGTGGTGGTGTTGCAGATGTGGTGGTTGGCGTGTGATTGTGTTTGTGTTAGAGGATGTGTTAGTGGATGTGTGGAGGTAGTGGTGTTTTGGAGGTGGTGGTTGTGTGGTTGTGTTTGTGTGGAGGTGTTGGTGTGTTGAGGCGGTGGCGGTGGTATTGTGGATGAGTTGGCGTGCGAAGGTGTTTGTGTGTGGTGGTGGTGGCAGTGATGATGTGTAGGCGGTGTGTTGTGGTGTGGAGGGGCATGGGTGATAATATTGTGACATTCATATTTTTCTTTGTGCTGCGATATTGTGACATTTCTATTTATGTTAATTAGTTTTTTTCATGCTAGTAATACTATGGTTAAGATGAAAGAGGTCGGTTTAAAGTATAAATTGTACTGGTATAAACAATTCTGTTGCAAATAACATTACTATACATGAGTAGAGTGATCATTTGTTTAGAAACACCTGCGAAATTTATTTTCAAACTGCAAAAAACAAATAGATAGTCAGGTTATACGCTGCAGCTTTCTGTGGCGGCTACTGCGTAGCAGCTTATTATTAAGCTGCGGTTGCCCCAAATAGACCCTCAGTTGCCATTAGGATTTCCATCCAAAATTATAGCATTAGCAGACATGTTTGAAGGAAATTGGTTGGTGCTATTTGAATTTTGCTAAACTCGTTTATGTAAAATTGTTCACCTCTCTTGTTAGAATGATATTAGGGCTGTCAAAATGGCACTGTTCGTATTTGACTCGTTAAAAAGCTCGTGTTTGATTCATTCGCTAAGCAAATGAACCAAACTCGAGCAATTTTTTTTGCGCTCGATATATAAACGAGTCGAACACAAATAAATATTTTTTTCGTTTGTGTTCGACTCGTTTTTACTCGAATAAATTATATCTGTATATTGTACACATAAAATATGTAAGTATGAATCTCAAGACAGATGAATAGTTCAGGAAGAAGAAATGACCTATCAAACGTAGCTGATTGACGATCGTTTCAAGTTGGACGATAGCTAGAGGGGCTTCTTGTTCGAGCGATTAGCGGAACGTGCCAGTAGATTTCCCATAGGGTAGTTATCAACTCTTAG